CCTGCTGGATTGCAGAATGCGTTGTTGGTTTAAGAGCCGGTAAAAAAGAAATTCTCAACTGAAGAGTCTGTTTAAAAAAACAACCTTTTTTTCCTAATCGCACTACAAAGAAATACATTAGTATTTTGGCCTTTAAATTTCTTACATGGTACTTATTTAGCATGGCAATCCCCGAATTCCCTCTCTTTAAGTAATCATAAATCAAACTCCTCTTTCAGAGGCTGCTTCTTGGGTTAGATTCTGGAGATTTACTTCATACATGCTTACACTGGCTTGAGGACGAAGACAGCATCATCTAGTACATAGTAGTCATTATACATATCACCTTCACATAGGTATGGCAGTCTGGTGAAAGCCTCTATGGCAAAACCAGCTTTACTGAAAACTTCTGGCAGGCTATTCACCTGTTCTTCCCAAGTGTGCCCTTTGATTTCCAAAACTTCTGAGGGCTTTTCCCACTTGCCACCTACTGAGAAAACAAAACAGTTTTGTTTAAATTATAAAGAAAACTTTATTGTGCATCGTATTTTCTTACAGAAAGTTTATTACACAGTTTATATTCCATTCTACTCCAAACAGGAGGTTGACAAGCCATTTGTAGAGCTGTTGCAAGATCAGTTCAAGTTTTTGCTTATTCAGAAGCAGCTCCTTCTGAAGGTTATCTTTTGTTACATTTTTAACTAGCGGTTCCAAGACTGGCTGAAAAGTAGCTTCCACTAGTGAGGCTGGTGTTCAGCAGACATTGACAGACAGACTGCCGAATGAAGATCTTGTCCAGCATTATAATATTCTTTCTTTATGCCCACTGTCTGGCCAAAGATGGCTTCAGGTAATTACAGTAAATAGAGCCAGCAAGTCGAAAATTATAATTTGCTGTGAAGCTTCCATCAATAGACCACCACATTATAATGAAGGGCTACAGAATCTTTGTTCTTCCAGTAGTCACCTGCTAGCTGATACGGTAAAGAGTGCTTAGGATCATATAAAATTAAGAAGCCTAACACTTGTAGCATGCTGGAAAATGTGTTGTCATTTGTTATATCCAATGAAATAATCTGAAGGATTACAGGTAACACTCATTTTCCAAGTAATGTCCTCCACAAATAACAAATGTTTTATGGTTAGGTCTGTACCTTTAACCAGTTTGCTGAATGCAATAGTAAACACCCTTCTAAACAGGAAGTTCTAAATCTTGTGATTTAGAGTGTTCTGCAACTCCAAAGATTTCCTAAGTTCCCCTTCCTTCAAACAGAATAATTTCCAGAGAGATACAAGAAATGGCATCTTTCAACAAATTAAAAAACGTGCTAGTGCTGGCATTTGACTGGATTCTGTATGGTGCTGGTAAGACTTTTTTTCTTTAAGCTTCTTGTATTTTCCCATGTAATAGCAGTTAAGTAAGACTGAAAATGTTGTGGTTATGGTTTGCAACATAGCTATGAAATAAGAGCAGTAAAAAGTTTTGCTGAGAATCAAGCTAATTTCTGCTATCTTCATACAACTTCCAAATTAAACAACTGTTCGCAAATGCTTTTTCTTCCAAAAGTCTGAAATGCTCCTGTAATCTACAATTTCTGGGTCAAACCCTACTGCACTTCCCTGCAAAGAATGCTCCAGCAGCAGCAGCATGGTTTCAGTGCAGCTGTGCTTGTTTGGGAGGAGGGTTTGGAAAGTTCAGCAGACAATATCTACATGAACTGAAGCCATGGAGTTCTGCTCTGCAAGGCCACCCAGAGCTCTAGAGTAAGGTGGAAAAGAAAAGGGAATCAACTGCAGAAGCACAAGCTACTGCCTTTCACCACACAGGGTGCAAGTACACAGCCAACTTTTGTTACTACAGTCTTCAGAATGCTGTAACTGCTATGGAATGGCTCTGATGTTGATCTGACACAGAAGTAGTTTGATTTTATTCTTGTAGAAGTCACAGACACTGAATCTGCTTCAATTTGGTCCATAAAACACTCAGTGAGAAAAATGATGAAAGGACAATGCTGATTGTCCACCGTGGACAGGCTTATAGACTGTGTATCAGCAGAAGATTAAGAGACTTCAGTTTATTTTTCTTCTAATTTGTTATTTTCTAGGAAGTAGAAAAGGATGCTGTTAAGCTGTTACCTTCTTTTTCACTGCAGTAATCTCAGTTCCATTGTTTAAATAACTAAGCAATTTATTTGAATAAAATTAAACATACTAAAACAGTATTTAAATTATGGATTTCAACAAGGACTTAAAAAAACCTCTCACACCAGTCATATTAAACCTTACATCTCAGTTCCTTAATTAGAATTCTCTTCTCCGATTAACCTTCCTCTTTTCTCTGCATACATTTTTAAATGTCAGAACTAACAAGCAGTGTTATTATCCTTAGAAACCCAGAGACAATATCTGTGATGAAACAGAAGAATGTCTAGGAACTATTATGAATTCTAATCAATGTTACGAAATTGCTAAATTATAAATGTCTCCATTTACAACATTTCCACTGCCTGCCATCAGGCTGTCTCACTTGACTCAGATCAGGAACAGTGGAGGAGAGAGAAACCCTTGCAGAACTCCACTGAGCATCTACATTTATGCCACATGACCCCCCATCACCACACCCATTACCCCCCATATCCCCCAAACACTCAGGACTAAATCCGAGGCAGGGAACTACACAAAGTATTCTTTTCGTCTTCTCCAGGGCCAGAGGAGACATCCACATTATTTTAGATATATGAATCTTCTCTATACTTTTTCAGAAAAACAGAAAGCTAAGCACATTACCATGTAGGTAAAACTGTTAAATGAACACATGGGCAAACCGTAGGAATTATCAAAAAGAGAAGTTTCCAGTAAACAACCTTAAAAAATTTCAAGTTTGAAACATGGTTGACTTTACTCCTGTACTCCCACCTTTTCTTGAATGAACCAGAAGTAGCTTATTTTCTTTCTAGATTGTGCCTTGCTCTTTAACTGTCCCTCACATTACCAATTGTTCGTTCTCAACAGGTACTACAGATACCTGCCGAGTCACCGTAACACAACCCAGATTTCAGGAAGCTGACTATTCCATGCATACTGTGTTCCTAACATGCGCTTTCTCTGCCTCTGGATGCTCCTTGTCCCTACCTCAAGTTCTATGGTTTCGCTTTTTAACTAATGAACATGAGGATTTGTGTACTCCTGGATGCATGGATCAGAAGAAGTACAAAGTACATTTATCACTACAAAATACTACACTTCAGATCAATGATCTGACTGTAGATGACAATGCTGTTTATATCTGCGGAATAGCATTTTCAAATTCAGGTTCACCTCATTCTAAACAAACAGGAGATGGAACAGTACTAACGAAAACAGGTCAGTTGATCATTCCTTCCTAATGAACCATCTTAAAAGAAATAAACTAACTTTCCTAAGTACTCTCTTTATTTACACTTTCAAGAATGGCATTTAAGATGGAAATACCAACAAAACTGTTAGGAATAGTATCACTACATTAGAATATTAATAGTAAAACCATGGGGGGATGCTTATTTACAAATAAGCATCAACCTTGTTTGCTAATTAGACTGTTCTGTTGTATGAGGCAAATTACGGTAGAATTCTACAAAAGAAAGAAGTTTTGTACTCCTGTTATCTACATCCTCTTATATGAAGACTTTAATGGCTGTCAGAAAGGAAGTATCAACAGAAAAATGAGAAGTAGAGAAACCGACATTTAGTGGAAATACATGCAACAGCACACAGGGTCTCAGAACTGGGGATTCACTGTGCCAGTTTGAGAAAGTTTTAGTTCTGAACCTTTGCATTATTTGCCTTCTAGTTAAGAAAGTGATGAGACTTCATTAACTACATTTCAAAATAGAAAAATAAAAAACAAAAAACACCACACCCTAGCTGGATCACAACTTTTCCTACTACTTCCTTCCCCTAATTGCATTTCTGAATAAAAGCCTGTAAGTTTTATTCAGATATTCCTTTATGAGAACAGAAAACTGGATTCTGTTCTCTCTCTACCCCTAAAGGAAGGGTTCATCATAAAAAAAATAACAAGTCTGCATTGCTGTTGCAAACCTTCAGGCAAACAAAACAGAAGTGATCTCACTAAGAAATTTAGACTGAAAATACCAGAAAATATTGATGGGTGTCTTTCTCAGAGGAAGGGGGCTGAAATGCTGAATTTTAAGAAAATTATGTGAATCAGAAGAACTGTCCTTTATTCTAACACTCACTTTTAATAAAGCAGCAGAGAAGCAGCACAGCAATGGAAAGCTCGTCTTCATCTTCATGATCGTCGCCTCATCCTTACTGTTTCTATACTGCAGTACTGTATTCACATTCTTTGTGGTCTACAAGGTAGGCTCAAAGTGATTTTTCTGATTTTGTTCATTTTGTAAATCTAAGCGGTTTTAACATCTCCATAAGGAGAATAAAACAACATTCCTAGATTCCATAACTTTTATGATTAAGTTTTAAAGAGGTGGTTGGTTGAAGTTCATATGCACGTATCTGCAAACTCTTGTGTCGCACATACCTGCACTCTCAATAGCAACCACATTTTCTTTTTTCAGTAAAGTGTCTAAAAGAAAAGGCATTCTAAAGTTAAAATTATCCTGAGAGTATTAATCAGCAAGTAGGAGATTACCTATCAAGGCATATTCAAAAAGCAAAACTAGAAATTACCATCCTAAAGTCATCAACTCTCTGGATTAGTTCCTAGTAAAAGTAAAATAATTTAAATTTAACATCAAAGTATTTGTGAGCTGTAGTAAAGTTACTGCAGACTGACTTGTGGAACGAAATCCTATTGATACATACACAGAAAAGAGACCTTGGTAAAATTTAAACATATTGGAGACTTGGAGGTCGTTTTACACTTATAGGAAACAAATACATTAGAATGCACCTGGTTAGAAATTACTTAAATACAGGATTTTATTTTTTTTTTTAAATCTAAAACAAAATTTGCATTTAGTGAGAAACAAACACACCCAAAGCTGTAACTGGAATCTTTACATAACAATGAGACTATGACGTGAGAATGAGGACTTCACAGTTCTAAGTGGTATGATATAATAAAATGGTTCCTTGCTGTAGTGATCACTGTCTAAGCATAAAGACAAGACAGCTTTTTTCATTTTTGTTTTTCTTTAAACTACATGAAGTAGTGTAGTGGAAAAAAATTAATCAAGCCTTCTTCAGGGGAAAAAAAAAAAAAAAAAAAAAAAATCTGTCATGCCATTGGTTTATTTTTTGAGAATTTGGTAGTACTTCAGACAGGTCCCACTGTAGTCAAAGCAAAAATATTTGCAACATCTACTACCAGAAGCTGAAAAAGGCTTTACAGGCTAGAAAACTTCTATAATTTTTCCAACGGTATAAGCTGACCTAATGAAAGGCTTTTATCTACAAACTGTTTCATGTAGTAAAAGGGCAATGCTTTTACTATTCTGCTACCTTAGCAGTTGGCTTCTCATCTTATGTTTTAATCAGTTTTTATTTTATTATCCCTCCCTCCAGTTAAAACCAAAGCTGCTAAAGAAAAGTGGGAATGAAGACCAAAGAACAGAGCACTGTGTATGTTATCCCTTTGTTTGCTTTGTCTGTGATTCAGAGCTTTTTTTCCTTTTTAAATTGTATTTGGCATCAATTTTGTGATTAATTGATGATTCAGTTAAAGAGACATTCAGAGCTGTTAAGGCTTCACTTCAGATTTGTACAAAACTAGCTAATGATTTTACATTTGACTAATTTTAACTAAATAGTTTATTTTTAACTAATTGGATACAGGATAGTCAATCTTTGTAAAGGCCATCTCTAATACACAGCTTCCTTTAGGTTTTAAATAGATTTTGTTTGAACTTCTGCAAATAACAGGTTTTGCTATTAATTTTTTGTTTGTTTAAATGGTGCATTCAGGTAAGCCCTAATATATTTAAAACAAGTCTAGTAAGAACCTCTATCACTACATATCCTTGAATAAAAATCAGAAGCCATACATTTAAATATCCATTAAAGAAGGATTATATGTTAAGAATTGTAATATTACAGTAATTTAATTTCTGCTTGCCAGACCATATGTTCTTAAAGTAGTAACATTCCCAAAGACATACACAGGGAAAAAAACAGAATTATACACAGTAGAGAAAGATGTTTCCCTCACTTTCAAATGTCGTACTGACCTAAAATATTTTAAATAATTTTCAGAAAATCAGTAGCGGACGAAAAATTTTTCAAGCAATTGCCCAAGAACTTCAAAAGCAGAGGTACACTGAACATTGCCGACAGCCTGTAAGTATCTATCTACCAATACTGAAATTTATGGGGAAGAAGAGGAACTGACCATTTTCAAGGGTATTCCTCTGAAAATAAGACTTTTCTTTTTTTAAAGTTGATAAAGGACTAAAAAAAGTATTCTGCACAACAGTCAAAGACATTATAAAGCATTCTAAATGACCATACATATACATTTACATATATATATGTGTATATCTATATAGCTTGTACAACATATGTGTGTACATTTAAAAATGAAGCTTCCATACATTTGCATTTTACCAAGAGGAGGTCTCAACAAGTGGTTCTGGACTGTTTGGTAAAATGCATAAAGCTATTAAGAGTTCATTTTTGAAAAATATTTCTATTGTAGTTCCTCTTTCTCCCTTAGCCCAGGGTGGCTAGGTGACAGAAACATTCTTACAGATATTTCCCCCTCCTTCAACTTACAGAACCTAAGTATTCAACATCACTGGGTAAAGCCACACAACTTATTTAATCATTCTAAATTTATGCCAATTTTTCTTATATGACCATATGACAATAATTTTGCATATGCCATGTAAGTTACCAAAAAAAACCCCCAAACAACCAAAAACCCGAAACACTTCAGAATTCACGTGTGTTTGCAAGCACAGAAAATGGCTTCAAAATCCTGCTTCAAAAATGTTGCTTCTCTTGAGAAACAGCATAAATTGTTTCTATTCTGAGCATGGACCACACCACTTCAGAGATGCAAAGAGAAATCAAAAGAAACACAGAACAGTGTCAAACACTTCTCTATACATTTTTACTTCATTTATTTCCATACAGCCCCAATTGTCTTCCTCTGTAATTACCCCTTTAAAGACTTCAAGTCCCTGCTGACACGACCTGGTCCTTGGTTTAGCGTCAGATATGAACACAGTGAAAATAAGGGGTATGTCTTACTGCCTTTGTGCTCCCTGGAGATTAGGGAAAGTCAAGAGGAAAAGAAATATGTTTTGAATCCTGTACATGACACAAGGACAAAAGCAATGGGATAAATGGGGGGAAAAGAGTTTACTGAAACAGTAAAGGGATGGAGTTTGCCTCAAAAAGGAATTCTGCCTTTATAAAAAAAAAGTACACACCAGTAACAAAATACTTCTGTATTTTTCCCCTAGGATGATGTGGAAGATGATACTGTTTATCAGAACAGATGAGCGTGTTTGGCAGTTCAGATTTATGCAATATTTCTCATGAAAGCAAAGGGGCAGATGAAGAAGTTAAGCTTCTTCACAGACTTCTTTTGCTTTAAAAAGAGAGGAGAAAACCTTGCATGCAGCGTTCTTCAAGAGTATTTTCTAAACAGATCACCAAACCCAAGTGCACTGTACATTACATCTATGTTATATATTACTGCCATTTTCCATTCTGCAAGAGTAAGAATTGTGGGAAAAGACTATATCTTTCATAAGATAACTGTTAATGCTTAATAAAAGTTTCCTTTTTCAGTTTAGATTTAGTTCTATGTCTTTTTTTCTTTTTACATAAATTTACATGTATTCCTTTTACATTAATTGAGCATTTGTGAAAGATGTATGATAATTGACAGCAACAGAAAATAAACTCGTTTCGTAGGTGAAATTCTGGTTTTAGTATGTTAATGTGATAGCTATTGATGTAATAAATACACAGAACAACAGTTACTGAGTCTTAACATCAGCTTAAAGAGAGCCAAAACCTACATATTCTGTAAACAGGTAAGCGGAAAAAAACAGACTATATAAATGCATGTACTACTAGGGTAAAGCTCAGCTGGGATTGGAGCTTCTTCCTAGCCTGTTTAGGAAAGAAAAGTAGTGGTCATAGTGTGAAGGTTGCTCCTGCAACCTTAAAATTCACTTGCTAGACAGACAACCCCCATCTTCCAGTCCTACCATCCAAAGTCAGGATTACCTTGAGCAGCAAGTTTTGCCTTTACATGCCTTTTCAACATGGATACAAGCCTGAACACAGAAGTATACCACCTTGACTAGGTAGTATACTTTTTTTTAGCAGTTACTACCTAGCCAATCTCCAAAATCAGCACTTTTACAAGAGATCTGTTAGTATCAGGCATTCTCCCTACTAAAGAACACCTGCATCTTTTATCATCATTTAAATAAAGCAAGGCTTTGTTTAACAAATGAAACTGCATTGCTCACTTCAGCAAGATGAGAACTGACAACAGAGACAAAGCAAGGGTCCATCTAGCACAGTACTGTGTTTCCAGCCCAATATAATACCAAGTATTTCAGGAAGATGGAAAACACACCTTTGTTTTATCCCTGTCAATCAATCACAAGGACATTAATTTGTTCAACAAGAAAATTTCACAATCCCAGGCTGCTACTGTTTGCTACTTCTGAAGTACGGTGTCTCTGACATTTTTATTTTAGCGAAACTGAAACCAGTCGAGTAATATATTATCTAACAATGCCTTCATGTAAATATGATGTCTACATTAGGAAATATAAAGGATTTTTACCTGACCCTATGGGAATACCCATTAAAAATATCAGTACAGTAATACATGTTCTTATGTGACTCGTCTAATACCTTATGATTCATCCAGAAAATTTAGATGTGCAATAAGTGCATTACTTGTTGTTCTGTATGTTGAAAATAAAACTCCAAAAAGTCACAGAAAGAATTTACGATTAAGCTACTTTGGACTCTAGGTGTCACTGTAGTTCCAGAAACAGTAAGCACAGAAATATATTTCACCTCCTCCTCCACCTTGCTTTGTTCTCTTAATGCAAGTTTTATGTTATACACGTAGACAGTTTCCACAATTACCCTCCCATTACACTACATGTAACAACCCCAAATATCTCATTTTGATTAAAATAATTTCTCCATTTCTAGAAAATAATCTGTACACTGATCAAACACTGTACCTGCCTGATCTCTTCCCCATTTGTTCCCCCATCTAAAATTCAAAAGTTTCTCTGGGTGGGTCCAAACTGTTTTTAATTAGCTGCTACAAGAAGTTACTTGAGCCATGAAATGTTCTCCTCTTTGAATGTTCCAAGTGTATTTTTTTTGTTAAATATAAAGCATATGTACATATCTAACACTTTTTAAAATGCATCATCCTGTAGAACAGCTGAATGAAAATACTGACATTCTAAAAATAATTCGTACATCATGAAGACAGTCTGGCAGTTCATTGTCTATTTCTCTAGACGACAGTTAAATAGATGTGAAGTGGGGAAACCTCAGCGGAATGACAGTAAGTTTTGTGTGTGCTAACTCACATTGTCTGAAGAAGTTCATATAGGCCCACATCCGTGATAGTAGTCAACAGACAAACTGGGTATGTTTTTAAGTTTCAGAACATATTAAGGAAACAAAACTGCCTTAAGCAAAGTGACTAATTGCTACAAGTCACCACCACAAACAAAAGTATGGCTTTAGTTTACAAGACATCTTACAACAGATTTTGACTTTCAACAAGAGGAATGACTGAGTTCAACAATCACAGGAACAGATTTCCAGTCCCTTGGGATTTATAAATTTAACACTCTATTCTCCTCCCAGTATACTGTGGGAGATTAATGATGAAGGACATACACAGACTTAGAGTAGTTTCTTAAATTTATCTACCTCCTGTTGAACCAGGAAGTTACATGCGGTCTGTCATGTGGTTACCCAACAACACGAAGAAAAGTAGATGCTGGGTGCAATAGCGGTTGCAAAACACAATGGCACATGGTTTTGAAGGCATGCAAACAAAAAAGCCACTCAAACCATGTCTCAATTTCTGCTTCTAACATGCCAATGAAAGACTAGAAAGACACTGCTGTTATTTGGAATTTTATAGAATCTTTAGAAGAGGAAGCCATATTGTTCCACATTATAGGAACAGTAAGTTGTAACCAAATATGCTTGAAATACTGTACAGACACTTAAGTCAACCCCCCATCTCATTTAAGACACACTACTTTTCAAAATAGTTACAAAATTATATGCTCAAATTATTCTCCATCTGATGGCTTTTTTTTTTTTTTTAATACTTAAAACTTCTTTTCCCCCCCCTCCTCCTCCAGCAAAAACACCACTAGAATATAAAAAGGGGAAAATAGATTCAGCATGATGCATTTGTGATTGCCAGAATGTTAAGGTTATTAGTTCTGTATTTTCTGGGCATACATCCCTTTCCACAGACAAATCTTAATACTCAAGGAGAGCCAGTGTCCAAACGATGACTGATGAACACCAGCCTTCTGGAATTCAAACCACTTTTATGGGTGCCTCAACCCGAATCCACAACCGTAGGCAGGTAAAAAAAGTTTCTAGTCTCTTTTGAAGGTTAGTCATAAGGACAGGTTCATTTGAAAATCTCTCATGTATTTCTTTAAAATGCAACTAGGGGAAATAATGGAGTTTTGGCACTGAAATTTACTTTTTTTATTCCAGTTACTAATACAATATAAATAGTCACTGATACTTTGTATTAGTAGGGGTCTGTATTTTACTTTAAGAGCTCATGTTGGAAAGTGAACGTTACCTCCCTATGAATTTTTAGGTGGGGTTTGTCTGGAACACTTGAAACAGTTTAACCTGAACTGCTCTGTTCAGCATTGCAGACAGTTCTGATGGTTTTGCTCAATGGTCGCTAGAGACAACTGGGGTTACCTATATGACAGCAGCAGAGGGCCCTAATCAGAGATCAGTTTTCCCATGTTGCTCCAACACAGCTCAAATGTGGCAACCTGCAGAACAGGATATGTGACTTCAATATTTGAGCTTTTTGTTGGTGCCAACAGCGTATGTTGGGGAATTAAGAAAACAGCTTACATCATGTGACCTATTTACCTATGATTTCATATTTCTGAGCATGCACTGTACAAGTTATTTGTAAAAATCAAACATGCCAATTATTTATCAAACATTTAATTTGGGATACTATAACCTACAAACGTTTTCTTTACCTGCCTAAATAGCTGTTAATCTGTGTACTTACCATTTTCCACATATGGGTGAAAAGGCAGAACTAATGCTAGAATGACTCTGCCTCTAGTTGGCTCCAGTACACTTCTAATATCTTTTAATACAGTCAGTGGTTGATCACAGCGATCCAGCAAATTCAAACAGCTGATAACATCATACTGAAATCCTGTGTTTTGCCAAAAAAAAAGAAAGAGAAAGAGATACATTCTGTTAAACAAACACAAGCTGAGCTCAGAGAGAACCACTGACAACAAAAATTCCCTATGGGTGTGTTAATAGGCCTAGGTCAGCCACCTAGGCACTGAGAAGAGACAGACATAATCCTTCTGGTCTTTTGGAAAAGAAAACTAAATCAACAATGGGCATGGCTATATATCCAGCCATACGAACCTTTACACTGCCTTATAATCATCAGGAAATAAAAGGAGACAAAACCAAAACCCCAGGTATTAAAAAAAAATATGTTGTCACAGAATGAAACTGAAGATACTTCTCAAGGAACAACAAAGCTGAAATATGATTAATGGCTTGCTGTATTTCATCCACTCTGATTTACAAGTGTGCAAACCCAGACTGCAAAGTGGTTGTTACGTTTCCATTCAAAGACAGGTGAAGAAAAGAAATCCACAGTTCCTTCAGTCTCTGGGCTAAGTCTAGGGATATAGTGCCTGAAATACTGACCATTACTCAACAAGACTGGATTTGCTGTCTGCAAGAACTTCCAGGAGTTGTGACAAGTACATGGACAAAGTTCTGAAAGTGCTGAGGTTTTTTGTTACTAAATATTATTCAATCTTAACAGCAGGAGCTAAGCATAGTAAGAATAAAACAATCTTTACACAGTCATCTATACTGTGGTATTAGATAGATGAAGATTATTGAGGTATCCCTATTACCAGGATTCAGTTTGCTTTCTCTGCAGTACCTGTGTCTTCCTCTTGCAATTTTGGACTGTTCACTTACACTGTTCATCTGAATTTCATCTTCCTGACTCCCCTGACTAAAGCAACTTATGCAGGCTATGCAAAATGGTTGTTGTCTATTTTTCATTAACTGATAACAGGGAACACATTCACATAACAAAAGCACTGGTAACAGGGAACGTAAGATGTATTTGTTTTCCTGCTTTTGTACAGGTCAACCTTTTCCATAACAATCAAACAATAGTGGAATTGACTGAAAATATTGAACATTCATTAAATATTACAAATAGAATACTTTGCTGTCTTATATAAAGGTTGTGGGAAGCATTCAGTACAATACCTGTATTTCTTCTTCTGAAGCTGCCATATCATAGTTTCAGACAATTCAGTGGCATAGATTTCTTCAAAGTGAGGACTCATGACTTTAGTGACTTCTCCATCCCCAGCCCCTAAATCGAGAAGTCTGTGGGATTTCCATTCTGGATTTATTTTAAGCAGTCTTTGAAATTGTTCTGGGGAAAACACAAACATTGAGCCCCTTCCCAGCAGCCTGAAATGTAAATGAAATGACCAATTTTATACAAACTTTAACAGGAAAGACAATGAAGTCATTTAGAACATGCTTTGGCAGCAGGCACACGTAATAGCAGACAAGGTCACCGCTCAGATAAATTTTAAATCCAGTTCGACTTGCCTTGCACTTGTCAGAGATCAAACACATAGCCACATGCAGTTACAATGGTTAAGACTTCAGGAGGGATTTGATTAGGTAAGGAAGAGCTCATGGGGTGCAGCTCAAGAAAATGAACGCATTAAAAAAGCGAGGGGGGAGAGAGACAGGCAAAGATAAAGGCTGAACCTTATTTGTCACGTTTGCAGATTTGAATCTCTGCCACCTACCTTAAAAAAAAAAAAAAGATTAAATAGCAGAGGAAATAAAAATGGCTGCAGACACAGAAGTATGCACAATGAATGAGGAATAGGATATGGAACTAGGAGAGAAGCCAGGGAACAGATTTAAAGAAAGGATGGGGGTAACACTGCTGGAGTGGCAAAAGAGATTTTTGTAATTGTATGTTACAACAGCTTATACTGCTATCTGCAGATCCAGCATTCAACATGAGGAACTGTGGAATAGAAAATAGGCAACTCATTAAGGAATTGGGTAGAGGTGACAGTTGGATTCCTTATGGATCAAGTCAACGACATACCCGCCTGTAACTGTTTGAAGACTACATAGTGACAGATTTCAGCTGTCATAGCAGAACTCAGAAGATGAAAGAGTTAGGAGAACAAGCAGAGGAAAAAGAACTGGTCAGTAATAGACTGAAGGTAGATAAATGCTATTCTTTAAACTAATGTTGGATAGCAGGTTAAACTTAAAAAGACAATGAACCAAAATATTTTATGTTCAAAAGGAAAAAAGGTAAACAAAGATAAAAAGAATCAAAGAATAAAAAAATGTGAAAAAGAGGTGGCCTAAGAAAGGCTGACTGTACTAAAAAACAACAATCAACCAAACAGGATGGAGTATGCAAAATCATACGGCAGAAACTAAAGCAGGATATTAAATGTATAAAAATAAACAGATTACAGCCAATTTAAGTAGAGCCCTCTTGCAGCACACTCGTGTCAGTCCACACTGTATAATTGGCTCATAGCTATTATTCCTAACAGCACTATGAGGTGTTATTCAAAGCAGTGGAGAGCCTTTGAAAAAAAATGCAAGAGAAAGGAAGAAGAGGAGACCAAAGGAACCTTTATATAAAGCTACAAGTAACTAAGAACACCACAGGGAAGCTCGTAAAGTCATCTGGCTAGAAAATAAGGAAAAAGATTATTTTTCTAGCCTTAGTAGACAGCTACTGTTCTCATATGAGACTGCACAGAAGTATATAGCAGGTGCAGAGGTGGAGTTGGTGGACAAATGAGGTAAATATAACACAATGCATTCTTCATAAGGTTAAAACCGATAAGCTGTTAAACATACGTCTGAATGGTGTGACTTTTTTGGAGAAAACACTAAAGCACTCACAAACAGCTAAATTCCCCTGCAGCCAAAGAAGAGACTGATGCAATAATACTAAGAGAATATTGTTTTATAAACTACTCTTTTCCTGCCTTCCTGATGTTTCATCAGCCAAACACGCTACATCAGCAGTTCCCTGTTCAAGTACAGTTTACACACAAACTGAGGTGAAATTAAGTTTTACAGAATAAGAGAAAGGACAGAATTATGTTCCACATTCATGTTACCAGACACAACACTTGGCCAACTTCTACACTGCTTAGAAATCTGCTTAGGTTTGCAGTGGGTATGCACACACCCTCTACTAGAAGGAGTTTTAGATGCAATACAGAACTGACTGGATACAGCCACCTACAACAAGGACAATCACAACAGTAACTGATATAGATACAGCAGCCGGTAAAGGGCAAGGGGGTGGGGGAAAGACAGCAGAGGGAAGAGGGATACATTGTCTAACACAAAGAGAACACTTTTATTCAGAAGGAAATTAATATAAGTAGTGGTTATAAAATACAATTAGAGTCCTCTGACTATCTCTTATTAATTGCTATTGCCTCCTGCTATTGTACCCCCATACTGGAAATGGTGTTCTTCAGTTAAGAGGGTTAGGTGTGAAGAGCACAGTAGGGCATTTCAGATCTGTTAGAGTGGCAAAGGGAAAACTACAAATTTAAGGAAAAGCTGACAGATCGAGGGGCAAGGATGAACACTTCAAAACTCTAAATCTAAACTGTTGACTTAAGTTTGACTTTTCACTTACCCATTGATAGATGTTCTAGACATAAAGAGGCTAAAAATTGAGGACACAAAAGAGTGATAGAGCTGGATAAAAAGCCAGCCTGATTTCTCAATGCTGTTGTTTAAGAAGATCTGTGTTCCTTGGTCAAGGTAACTCTGGACAAAAATAGGCTGAAGGGATTCAGACAACTGTTCTGTGTTGCAGACATACCACTAGAGAAAGAGACAAAGGATCATTAAAAAGTTCAGCAATATAAAACCAGAAGTAGTTAAAAAAATTGAATACACAGAAGGCTTTTATCAGTTTCTGTAAATATAAAAATTTAGGTTTTCCTACAGACTTTTCAACTAGCTTCAGGATTAATTTAACTTAGATTTGAATTTGAATCAAGTAAGGACCAATTACTTGCTAAGAAATAATGCTTTTATTTTTTGTCTTAATCATTACACTGTACTTTGAAGAACTTTACAAAGTAACTTCCCTAGAAAGCAAACACAGGTCCTCTATGGAATAGCACTCAGTGATAAAATAGTATGAAGCGGGATAATGTTGCTTTTTGTCTTACAACTTATTCCCAACTTTTCCCTAGGCATCCTCTGAAAAGAGATCAGCAAGTGCATTTGCAATAATTTTCTAGGAAAGGCGATAAAGAATCCAATCGATATTTTAGACAACAGCTTGTCTGTCTTGCAGCATAGCTGGACTACGTTTCTCCACTTACCCGTTCCAACAAGCAGGTCCACAAGTCTTTTGAAACAATTCTGTCTATGAAGCTGCCTCCCAGCACCTCTACTAAAAAAAGGAGCAGGTTTCCACATCTAGGAAGTCATCTAGCAGCTGAAAGGCTGTTCTATACTTTTATACTGGTAAAATATAAAGCCCGAGCTAAAACAGGCCAATGATTCCTTTCGCCTTGTGTTAACCTGGTAACAACCATGCCTATACAAACTAAACTAACTCTGATATGCAAGCTATTGTTCAATTAACTGTGAAGAAAAAGGATGCTACTTCTTGATATCAAATCTAGGTGGTAAAGTAATAAAGCACACAATATCCTAATATTTTACTATCCACGTGTAAGGCATATCTAAACTTTAACACCTGCTTTACATTATTTTAAATGCAAAAAAGTTGTGCAAAACAGGGCAAACCTATAGAAATTCTGAAATCTTAGGACCCACATGGCCACCTTCCACACCTCCAGCAAATGCGTCCAATGCTGAAGCATTCTGGAATGTCAGCACTGATACAAAAATTCAAAAGGTTGCAATGTCAAGCTAAGAACCCCCTCCACTCAATATGCACAAGTTACAAAAAAAGTTCTAAATATAATTTTAATTAAGAACATTGCTGTTATTTTTCATTGTCCTATGCTTGTGCAGACTTACTGTCAGCCTTTCTCATAGAATCTCTAATGCCATTGTGTCTGTTTTCTAATATCAAGAACTATTCCCTACAGCTAACATTCTCTTATCTTCCCCTTAGATCTTGCAATAATGCTCCCTAATCTGGCTGCATATGTTTATTGTGCAGATAGGGAGTTATAACTATCTTAAAGAGAAATGGAGAGTTTTAACAGAATCTTGTAAAAAAATCATGTAGAAGGACAGCAAATGGTCAGCTGGGCTAACCCCACAATGATTTAACACCTAAGATTGCATCTATAGCAAAATGTATGTTCATATCCTGATCCCTTCACATTTGTTGTATGTTGTTGGGAGAGGAACAGTCACTTAACATGTATTTACACAGTGTTCAGCACAATTGGACTTCCAGTCACTACTGTAATACAAATAATAATGGGACAGGATTCTTATTCCAGTGTCCTGCTGCTTCACAATAATAGTGCCAGCAAGCAGAGGAGAGTAGACAGCTGCACCAAGATCATTACACCAGATTCATAAACAGGGGCTCCATCACTGACCCAGCGTAGGAAGGGATGTCAACACCCTTCAGCTGACGAGCAAACATATGCATGCTTAGGTTTACTTTGAAAACCACTCACATAATGGGTACATTTCTGGCAGAATCATGCTCTCAACTGTACTTTCAAACACACTTGTAGGTAACGCAAGTGATCCTTTCCTCTAAAAACCAGATTTTGAGTAAGTCCATACCACATGATGGAGCCTGGCACAGGGATCCCCAAGACTGATGATTTACCAGTTTAGGTATTTTGTCACTGCAGCGCAGTGCTACTTGAATAATCAGCATAGATCAGTGATTCCCAAAAGGAATCCCTAGCGAGTCATGAAAAACCACTAAAGCAGCAGTCTGTGTACTTCGTCCATCCATCTTCAGAAGCCAATTTCAAGAGCCTGGCAGAAGCAAACAATGCCATAGAGCTGAGAAGCAGGCTGGGACATGTGTCAGGTTCATTCACGAGGCTGCTGCCCAGCTACACTGGACAGGTTTGGAGTGGCTCAGATGATCTGCCTTGCGTTGCTATTTTCAGTCCAGAAGAAAATGTATCCAACTACCAAAGCTTTGAGAAATACAGGTTTTGTTCCATAAGCAATATGATGTGCCTCACCTGAGCTCATAAATCTTGGTTCTGCACTGAACTCTGTCCCCTGTAGTTCCAGGATCTGACCATGGAAACCAACAGTCCTACAATTCTTGTCTTTAAGACTTCTAAATACTTATTTATATTGACATAACCATTGGCAGAACAATGATGGTGACAACTCTGAGAAGAGAAGCTTGTTTCCAGAAATTAGGCATTGTTTGTAGAGCTCCTCTAATTTCTTCTTCATGGTTAATCTTGCCAACAAGGTTATTGGCAACTACCTATATAACACTAGTGAGTAACAGAAATGATAGAAAACTATAAAAAGCACAAAAAAAAAAAAAAAAGCCCGTGAATGATTCAAAAATTAAAGGGTATCATTTTTTCTTTATTTAACCATATTTTAAAAGGGGGGACACACAACACACATGTTTGGATGTATGCCTTTTTGCTACACAAAAAAAAAAAAAAAAAAAGTAACACAGGATAAACCCAATCCAAATTTCAGGCAACAAAAGTTGTGAAAGACAGCTTAATTCTGGAACTACTTCCGCAGAACAGAATCTGCTTTTGTTTCCCTCCTTGTACAATACATGAAGAGCCTTTTTCAGGCCACTAGTTTCATGACAGAAAGTGTATCAATCTCTTAATGCACAATAGCAGAAAAACTACAGCACAAAAATCTGAAAAGATATGTTAAGACCTTTGTTATAATAAAAACTATTATTACTGACAACTTTCGCCTGATATTACCAAAAGAAAAAAAAAGTTCTTTTAGCTAACTTACATAAAACCAATGAAGTCAGTAAAACTGCAGAGAGTGAAAGCACCTGGGGCTTCAATATGCAATCCTTACTTAAGAGTAAACCCACAAACTCAGTAATTATAAATCTTACTAATCTTACTAAATAATCAATACTTTACACCTAAAATCTAGATCCAGTAAATGAGAAATTGAGAGTATCCACTGCAGACCATCTATGTGTGAATGACACAATTATCTCCACCACACATTTCCTTGGTTGATTGGTCTTTCTAGTACAGTTTTTAACAGCACAAAAGACTTTCAGATTTTCTTTGTTCACCAGAAGGAAAATCCTGCTGTAAATCTAAATTCTGCTTCTCTCTGTCATCCTACTTATGTACTGAATGATCCAAACAGCAGACCACATTCATTAAAACCCAGTAATACAGTCACTCACTAGCAAGATCCTGGGCATCAGTGCCCACCCAGAGCACTCCAGGAATGGT